ATCGACAGTCCTCTGGCTCCAATGCCAAGGCTCTTTCTACCCCCTCAGTTGACAAAGTCACTGGGCTTGAATCTGGGGAGACCAGGACTGATAAAGCACCTCTGGGGGAGGAGGTGGCAAGGAGGCCTCAGTGTTTCTGGCCAGTGCAGACCAGGCCGCCAGAAGCCTCTGGGGGTCTCTCTGCACCCACCCAGGCTCTGCCTGGCCCACACGGGGATGCCAGTGGCCTCAGGATGATCCCGTCCACCCACCTGACTTCAAACTCAACGGCCCACCCTTGGTCCAAACACGGGGCAGTGCTTCCTATGCTTCATCAGCAGCGATGCTGTCATGGACTGAGTGCTGACGGGGCACTGGCAGGGCTGGGCCCCTCCCATGCTGGCCTCATCTACTCTCCACCACCCGGTGCGGCCGGTGCTGCTGTGCCCATTTAACCGATGGTGAAAGCGAAGCCCAGAGAGGCTGAGGGCTGCCCAAGGGCACCCAGCAGGGGCACCGCTGGGTGTGAGCCCAGGCTGGCCTCACTTAACCTCCACTGTTTCACTTCGTAGGGTGCCCCTCCCTGCCCTACTGCCCCCTCCAAGGCCCTCCCTGGGGAAATTGTTTTCCCAGTTTGTGGACACACAGCGTACAGAGGCAGAGCTAGATGTCGGAGTGGGTGTCTGAAGCAGGAGCCTCCGGGGACCCCCTCCGAACCCCCTCCGAACCCAGCCCCGCCTCCAGACCGACCACAGGCTGCCAGCCTCCCAGCATCCCGTGCCCCTGCTCCATCTCCACACGTCACCGCCACGCTCGGCCTCCTGCCAACCCCTCCTGATCCTGCTGGGCAGGCTCAGGTCGAGAGAGGCTCAGGCTGCACATATTTTTCAAAGCTCCCAGTGTGTTGGAAACACCAGTGAGATCGGCACTTGGAGATAACTCCAGAGACCACCGGGAGAACTCCAACCAGCCTGTCCTGGGCGCAGTGCCCCACAGCGGACTGGAGTTGGCTCTGGGTTTGCTCTGCTTTAAATTGTGGTAAAATACGCATAACGTAGAACTGACCGTCTCTCCCACGTTCAAGTGCACATTTTGTGTGAGTATATTCACGATGTGCAACCACTGCCACCGTCTGCTTCCAGAACTTGCTCGCCGCCCTCACAGAAACCCCATGCCTTAAACACCCTCTCCTGTTCCACCTTCCCCCAGCCTCTGGCCGCCACAAACCTGCCTTCTGCCCCTACAGATTTGCCTGTTTTCAATATTTCATAAAAGTAGGGTCGTGCAGTGTTTGTCCTTTTGTGATTATCTGCTTTCACGTAGGGTAATGTCATCGAGGCTCACCCTCAGTGAGGAGCCTGTATCAGAACTCCATCCCTTCTTACGGCTGAGTGGTAGACAGTCATTCCCTTACCCAGACAACACGTGAAAATAAACCCTTTATTTACCCATCCGTCAGGTGAAGGACACCTGAGTCCTTCCCACCGAGTCCAAGCTGTTGCCAGCAGTGCTGGTCGGGTCACCAGCAGTGCTGGTTGGGTCACATTTTCGATCAAGCACCACACCGCTTCTGATTCTCTCGGGTAAACGCCCAGCGATACCACTGCTGGGTCGGACGGCGACCCTCTGCTCGGCTTCTTGGGGAACCGCCCAACTGCTTTCTACTGTGGCTGCTCCATCTTACGTTCCCATCAGCAGCACATGAGGGCACCCATTTCTCCACATTTCCGTCAAAACTTATTATGATCCATGTTTTTGATAACAGCCACCCCAGTGGGTGTGTTGGTCCCTGGTTTCTAAAAGATTCAAGGCTCCCTGAGGGGACCGTGGGGCCCCAGTGAGGGAACAGACCGGATGACAGGAGCTGAGGGGCCACAGGGGGGTTTATTCCCACAGACCTCGGCGAGGGGCTGGCTGGCCCCACTGTGCCCGGCCTCTGCGTGCTCGGCTGCAGGGAGGTGCGCTGGGTCTGGACTCCACTGCACTCGGATAAGAAGGATAAGGACGGTGTCAGCCGAGTGTCCCCTCCCTAAGCACCCTGGCCTGAGCGCCACCCAGTCCTTCCTCTGCCACAGGAGCCCAGCAAAGGGGCAGCCGGCCCCACCCCACCTTCTCCAGCCCCCCCCCCCCAGGGCCCACTCGCCAACCCCAGTGTTTGTGCCCTGACGCACTTCTGAGGGTTAACCCATCAGTGCAATGACTGCTCTGTAATCTAATTAGACGTATATACAGACACAAGTGCACAGACACCGGGTGATGCTGCTCAGGAAAACTCAGCTGGATGGTTTGAACGGCACAGTCTGAGACCCACACACAAAACAGCTGTCCAATCAGGTGGCCTGAGACAGACAGAAATCAACGAACGGCAGGGGACTGTCCAGGTCCACACGGTCCCACCTGCCAGCCACTCTGCACGGCCCTGCGAGCTGTCCCTCTGTCTCAAGGAGTCCAAAGCTGGACGGCAGAGACGGGGTCCCATCAGTGCGGACTTCACAAGGCAGGCGACTGGGGACCGGGAGGGATGGACTCCCCGCTAAAGGAGAGGCCTTAAGGAAGGTCGGCGAGTGTGTCCTCACTCCTTGGAAGTGAGAATAAAATGTGTTTTATGGGCTGAATCGTTTCCAAAAGCAGTATGTTGAGACCCTAACTCCAGTATCTGTGACTGTGACCGTATACAGGGTCTTTGCAGATGGGATCGAACGTCATGCCACGTGCAACAGAGGCAGAGACTGGAGTGGTGCAGCCACGAGCCAGGGAGCACCAGGGGTCGCAGCCACCACCTGAGTCAGGGTCCCACCCAGAGTCTCAGAGGCGCACCCTACGTACACCTTGGTTTTGGACTTTTCGGGGTGCGCTCAGACTGCTGTAGGAAATACCATAGACTGGGGGGCTTAAACGACAGCACTGATTTCTCACAGTTCCGGAAGTCCACGATCAAGGGGCCCCCTGAGGCAGGTCCTGGTGAGGGCTCACTTCCCAGTCTGCAGACAGCCGCCTCCCACTGTGTCCTCGCAGGTGAGAGCGTGAGATCACCTCTCTCTTGTCTCTTCTTATAAAGGCACCAGTCCGGTTCATGACATAATTACCTCCCCAAGGCCTCCGGGTACCATCGCACTGGAGATCAGAGATTAAACATAGACTAGGGGGCGGGGGCACACAAACACCTGGTCCACAGCAGACTCCCAGCCTCCAGACCGAGAAAGAGCAAACCCCTGAATTAAGCCACCCAGCCTGTGGTGGGTTGTTTGCTACGGCAACCCAAGGAACCGACTCGATGTGTGAAGGATTTAGGGACGTTATAGAGATTCTCCTCTGGACCCACTTTCTCAGTAACCCCAGTCCCCCTCAGTCCCCCTCACCTAGGGTGAGTGGAGGGCACCGTGCAGAACAGAGCCAGGTTAGCCACGGGCTCCACCTCCCAGTAGCCTGGGTTTGAACACTGTCTCTACCGCTGACGTGTCACCCTGGAAAAGTTTCTTTGCTGCCCTGTGCCTCGGTCCCTTCCACTGTAAAACGGGGTCACTCGGTCACGTGTCCCACACACATTTCCTGAGCAGCAGGGATAGTAGCTAAGGTTCTCGTCTTACTGGCACTAAACAAGCAAATACCCAGGACCGTGATAAACGCTCTGAAGGAAGTAAATCCTGCCCTGACCAGTGCGGCTTGGTTGGTGGGGCATCGTCCTGCACAGTGAAAGGTCACAGTTTCGATTCCTGCTCAGGGCACAGGCCTGGGTCGTGGGTTCGGTCCCCGGTGAGGGGCAACTGATATTTCTCTCACGTCAGTGATTCTCCCTGCTCTTCCCCTCTCCCTAAAAATAAATAAATAAAATCTTTTTTTCAAGTAAATCCGAACTTGGGATCATCACGTGCTGAGAAGGGGGCTGTTTCCTCCTGGCCACGCGGCGGGGCTATCCCTGGAGCTGAGGCCTGAAGACCGGGAACGGGCAGGGCCGAGCTGCAGGGCCAGGGGCCCGAGGCGCTCAGACGGCCGGGCGGACCCCTGTCGGTCCCTGGGCAGGGCAAGGCCCAAGAGACATGTCCAGCCCAAGAGCTGGGTCTCAGGACCGGGGCTGGGGCCCAAGGGGTGGGCTTCTCCGAGCCTCAGGTTTCCCCAACCGTGACGTGGGGGGGGTTCAGGTGAGGCTCAGCTAATGTGACAGACCCTCAATAAGCCAACGGCTTAAGGAAGATAATGTGCCACCGTCTGTGGCGAGTGTGCCAGGCCACTGCTCCAGGCAGACGTCCACGATGTCCCCCTTTCCCGTCAGCGACCTGCTGCCCGTGACTGACTTGTGAGAGCGGGGGACAGGCGGACAAGGAGCCCACAGTTCCCGGGCAGGCCTCTGAAGGACTCACATTACTGTGCTCAGCTGCACAAGTGACCATGTGGCCATTCCTTACCCCAAGGGAGGCTGGCAGTGAAATTCCAGTCACTTACCAGGAGAAAGCACAGGTTTGAAGGATGGGTCACAGCCTCGGGCTGGGTGGTTCTAGTGACACCTTGTAGGGACACAGCTCAGACAGATCAAATACTCGGCACCTAGCAGGAGCTCAACAGAAGTGACCATGGGGGCAGGGGCTCGCAGGAGCCTCAGAAACTCTCTGATCCAGTGCGCCCACCTCTCTGCAGCTAAAGAAACAGGTGCAGAGAGGAGAGGCATCTGCCTGGGTCACCCAGCAGGCGAGGGGCTGAAGTTGGTCCCAAATCCTGTCTGGGATCCTCAACCCCATCCTGCCACATCTTATTTCAAATTACCTGGCTCTGCCCCACCTGGGGGTGGGCAGAGCAGGGACCCAGACCTACCCCTCTACAGGGTCTTGTGGGACGGGCTCCTGAGAGGGGCCCTGTTTTCTGCAGCAGTGCCCCCTGGCCCCAGGGGCCCAGCTTTATGACTAGGTAGGTGTGGCCCTGGTTTCCAGGAGGGGAAGCCACACTGCTCTGTGACAGAGGGCCACGCCCAGACCCTGGGAGAGGGACCTGGGCTGCCAGCCGCTGCCACGTCGGGGTGACTGAGGAGGATGGCGTGCCTGGGTTTCCTCCTCCTCCTTCTCGCCAGCGCAGTGGCCCGGGGGGAGTACGCCGTGGCCCACGTGGTGTCGCAGAATTGGAGCAAGGACTACTGTGTGCTGTTCAGCTCGGATTATGTCACCCTGCCCCGGGACCTACGCCACGCCCCACTCCTGCCGCTGTATGATGGCACCTCGGCACCCTGGTGCCCTGGCGAGGACGACTCCCACCAGGCCCCGCCCAGCTCCCCCAGCCAGCAGCCTCTCCACCGGACCACCGCCCTGGTCATGAGGGGCAACTGCAGCTTCTACGCCAAGGGCTGGCTGGCGCAGGGCCGAGGCGCCCACGGGCTGCTCATCGTGAGCCGGGTCAGTGGCCAGCAGTGCTCAGACACCACCCTGGTGTCCCAGGACCCCCACAAGCCCCTGCCAGACCTCACCATCCCTGTGGCCACGCTCCAATACACCGACATGCTCGACATCCTCAGCCACACCCACGGCGGCGCCACAGTCCGCGTGGCTTTGTACGCGCCTCCGGAGCCTATCCTCGACTACAACATGGTGGTCATCTTCATCCTGGCCATAGGCACCGTGGCCGCCGGCGGCTACTGGGCCGGCCTGACTGAGGCTGATCGGCTGCAGCGGCGCCGGGCCCGAGGAGGAGGGGGGCCTGGAGGTCACAATCAACAGGAAGCAGCGGCAGCCCGGCAGGGACAAGAGGAAAAAGATGAGGACACAGCGATAGACTTCACACCGGCCATGACGGGAGCGGTGGTCACCATGTCCTGCTGCATCATGCTGCTGCTCTACTGCTTCTACGACCGCTTCGTCTACGTCATGATCGCCATCTTCGGCCTGGGGGCGGGCACCGGCCTCTACAGCTGCCTGGCCCCGCTGGTGCACTGCCTGGCCCTGCAGCAGTACCAGTGGCCCCTGCCTGGTCGCCGGGCCTGTCTGCTGCTGCCCCTGCTGCTGCTAGCCGGCCTGTGCACGGCGGTAACCGTCCTCTGGGTTGCCTACCGGAACGAGGACCGCTGGGCTTGGCTCCTGCAGGATGCGCTGGGCATGGCCTACTGCCTTTTTGTCCTGCAGCGGGTGCGCCTGCCCAGACTCAAGAACTGCACCTCCTTCCTGCTGGCCCTGCTGGCCTTCGATGTGTTCTTCGTCTTTATCACGCCCCTCCTCACCAGGACTGGTGAGAGCATCATGGTGGAGGTGGCCTCGGGCCCAGCAGATTCCTCAAGCCGCGAGAGGCTGCCCATGGTGCTCAGAGTGCCCCGGTTGAGCTTCTCGGCCTTGACCCTGTGTGACCAGCCCTTCACCATCCTCGGCTTTGGTGACATTGTGGTCCCAGGCTTCTTGGTTGCCTACTGTCATCGCTTTGATGTGCAAATGCGCTCACGCCAGGTCTACTTCATGGCCTGCACTGTGGCGTACGCTGTGGGTCTCCTGGTCACTTTTGCCGCCATGGTCCTCATGAAGATGGGCCAGCCTGCCTTGCTCTACCTGGTGTCCAGCACCCTGCTCACCAGCCTGGCCGTGGCTGCCTGCCGCCAAGAGCTCACCCTCTTCTGGTCTGGCCAGGGCAGAGCCAAGACACCTGCCCAGCCCGTGGCAGGGCTCCGTGGTGCCCACTCGGTTCGCCCCAGGCAGAAGTGGGAGGGCACAGCGGACGTCTACATAGCCAGTGAGCCTGCGGGGGCCACCAACCACTTGGCAGGGGACTTAGACAGCAACTTCAGGGAAGGCACTGCCAGGATTGTCACCACAGCTAAGGATGAAACCACCAGCCTGGTTGGCTACAGTGACAGCTCTGAGGGCTGGAGTGATGCCGTCCTGGCCCCAGAGGAGCTGCCCTGGGCCTCCCCAAGGGCCTTAGAGGAGCCAGTGCCACTGAGACCGCTGAGGTCACCCCCCTCAGAGGCGGGCCAGGCCCTGGCCCAGACTGCTGGCTTGTTCTGGAAGGGGCTGCACAGAAGGATCGGCGTGAAGGTCAAGAACAGCATGTCGACCCAGGCTCCCTCGTGACCCAGGCCCTGGGACATGTGCCGAAAGGAGGGCTGGAAGAACAATGCAAAGCAAAGGCACACGTAGCCCAAAGAAATCAGGGCATTAAAGATATTCCAGATCTACCCAGCCAAGCCTCTGTGTTTGTTAGGATGATAGGAAAGCAGCAGCCATGGGATAAATCCAAGCAGGGCCCAGAGGGTCCTGACAATAGGCACCACCCCAAATCATGCTGCGGAAAAACCGAGGCTCAGAGAGGGCACATGACTCCCACAAAGTGGCTCAGCAAGGTCAAGATTTTCCCCCAGGGCTTGCCAGGCGGGGACTTCGGCTCCTCCTGCCTCTCCTATGCCCACCCCAGCTCCTCATCCCAGCAGACAGGCCCCACCCTATTCCTGCAGCCCCACCCAGCATCACTACCCATCCCTTCCTCCCGCTCGGGTCCAGCTGGGCCGTCACTGTTCCTTGATCATGCCATGTCCTCTGTGCTGTTCCCTCTGGCTGGGGTGACCTTCCCACTCCAGACAAATCCCCAACCCAACTCCCTGGCTCACTAAAACATTCCTTGGCATCCTTCCAATGTCAGCTCACCTCCGTCCCATCTGCTAAACGCCCCTGCTCCGAGCATCCTGGACGGCAGCACCACACCCAGGGGCTCTGCACAGACCCGAGTGCGCACCTGCTGTGTGCATCACCCCGAGATGGGCGCCGAGGCCGGCGCAGTCTCACTGGGGGATGGGTGGGAAGTGGGACACAGACAGCAAACCACCTGAGGATCGTCTTCAAGAGCAGAGTAGAAGGGTTGGAGCTGGAGTGGAAGAATTTAGGAGACACCGGCTCTATTTCACATGCTACCTTCATCAAATCGGGGTAAATGACAGGTCTCTTAACCCTTTGGGGTCTCGGTTCTCATCTTCATAATGGTACTTATAACACCACGTCCACCTGAAGAAGGGCATGCACAGGATGACCTCTCAAGGACCCCACAGATTTTTAGGCCACAGGGTGTGTTTACATGTTGCTGCAGCAAAGCAAACAAACCCTGGGTTCAGGGAAGACTTCATGGAGGAGGCGGCACTGGAGGTAAGGGAATCATATCCTGAGAGTGTGTGGTGCAGTAGTTAGGGTTCTAGAGCCGCCTGCCCACCGGAAATTCTTGCTGTACTGCTGACCTGCACTGTGCCACTGAGCAAATGACTTAACCTCTCAGTGCCTCGGTTTCTTTATCCGTGAAATGGGATGGTAATGACCCCCCATGGGGTTTTGGTGAGGTTTGGTCAGGTGATTGACACCTCATCCGCATGTAGGACGAGCTCTATGAATGTGTGTTTATATTGTTTCCCTTCCTGAAAGCCTTTCAGAATCAAATCCAACTCCTACAAGACCTTTAAGTTCTGGCTCCAACTTCCTCCTGTCTTCCTTCCACGCGCGACATTCCTGCACCTACCATCACGAGGGAGTGGACAGCAGACCCCACACCACCGCCGTCCCCCCAGGGCCCTCCCACAGGCTGGTTCCTCTCACCCTCCTCCCACCCCTAGAACTGGGCCTGGCCGGGCCTCTCCTCCAGTCCCAGCTCACACGCCCCCCTCCAAGGCCCTTCCTTGACAGTCCTGTCTAACCTGGCCCCCAGCCTCAATCACAATACTGTACACGCTATTTGCTAGTTTTCTTATCCATCCCCCCCCCCCCGGCTCCCACCGAGTATCAGCTACTTTCAGGGCCTAGAACGAGGCCCGTGTGTAGTAGATGCTCAATGTGTTTGTTGGAGAAATGAAGGAAGAAATGGCTGAGGAATTAATCCATCTTGAACCATGGAGAAAGACGGGACCCCATGAGATAAAGTTCCCAGGCCACCTCCCTGCAGGGCTCGTACCTGCAGCACCTTGGTTGTGTGAAGACACGACTCTTAGGGGCCTGGCTGGGCACTGGGGGTGGGGGTTAGAGGGCTCATGGGGGTTCAGATAATAGGCGTCCAAAAGGAAGCCCCCTTGCTGGTCCCCTCAGCAAACAGCACCTGACAGCCTGGGCTGGACAAGGGCGGCATAAGGAACCTGGGCCAGGCCCCCGACCGAAGGTGTTGACAGCCTCTCCTACTGGAGCCAGAGACCATCTGGCCAGGACAGAGGGGCCTCTGCAAGGCCCTGGCTTGTCCCCAGCCCAGGCAGCCTCCCACTGCTGATTTGCGTCACTGGGCCTGCCAGGGGTGGGCTACATCACTCTGCCAGGCCCAAGGGGGAGGGCCGGACAGAGCCAAGCCTCTTGGCACCCCCTCAGCCCACCAGACTGGGGGACAAGGGGACTCTTCTCTCCCCAAAACTTAAAGCCAGGTGGCTCTAAGGACACTGGGCTAGAGCCCCTGCAGCAAGGCGAGTGCCTGCGGCCAAGGAGAGGAGTCTGGCCATGTCCACATCCGAGCACCACAGAGTCCGACTCTGCCACCACTGTTCCTACAGGGGCAAGCACTCGGAGAACATTTTATCTACAAAATGGGGAGAATATAACACAACCTACCCCGAGGGTTGTGCTTGGTATTAAGCTACCCAAGTGAGGAGCTGAGCCTGGACTCAGAATCTGTGCTGCTACTCGGTGGTGACCGGGGTCCCCTGCACCTCCCTGGCCCCCAGAGCCATGATCTTCTGAGCTTCGGGCTCAGCCTCACCTTGCCAGTCCCCTTCCCAGGGTCTGGGCCAAACCTGGGTGGCTGGACCCAGCTGCCACCTGTCAGAGGTGCCCAGAACTGGCAGCCCCCACCCGAATGTCAGAGGAACACGGGGTACTGCACACGTGCGTGTGTACCCACGTACACACATGCCCACATCTCTACTGTGCCCTCAGGCATACATGCACATACACACCCTCACACCCCCCCACACACATGTGCACTCATACCTGAGCACATACATACTGAACAAGTGCACATACCTGTGCACGCCCTACACACATGTGCACACAAAGGCTGTGACCTTCGCTGCTATTCCTTTCAGACCTTGCTCTCCCCTCCAGGTCTGTCCTGGGCCTGGGGGAGTGGAGGGGCTGACGCCTGGATTTCCTACCCCAGAGGGCAGAGTGGCCCTTTCCCGGTGGGGCAGACACTGAGACACGCCGCTCAGATGCTCAGACCACCCCTTCTCTTTGAGGAGGATGGCTGTCCAACAGCCTCCTCCAGGCCGCTCTTCGAGGAGATGGGGACATGGGGGGCCAGCTAATGGTGAAGCAAGACACCAGCTCCAGGACCTGGCATCTCCCCCAATGCCTCCTCTCACAGGTAGCCTTTGCTCCCAGCCCCCTGGGCTGGCAGAGGTGGCAGCAGGCCTGTATCCCAGCCTGGTGCCTCCCCCTGCCCTCACCTGCTCCCCCCTTCTCTCCTTTGCACTCTGAACTCCATCCCAGCGTCAGCTTCCTGAAGAGCACAGCCTGTGACAGGGGAAACCTCAGGTGGGGCCAGGGCAGGAGGAAACTCCCCAAGGCCCAGCCCGTGCTTTGCTCCAGCCACCAGTAATTCTCTCTGTGACCCCATTTAACCTTGGAGAGAACCCCATGAACAGAAGAGTCGAGGGCTTGTTTTTGTTGTTGTTCTTGGGGTTTGGGGAGGTTGTTTTTTGTTTTTTTGTTTTAGTTAACAAAGAGTTTGGTACTCTGGATTCCCTCGACAGTGAGAACTAGCAAGGATCCACAAGCTGCCCTAACCCACAAATGAGGAAAGGAAAGCCCAGAGAGGGTCACGCTTGCCCACTGTCACACAGCAATGAGACGGCAGAACTTGAACAACCGTTTGGCCTCCCAGCCCAGCAGCTGGGTCAGCCCCCATCACCAGCCCCCGCCCCTCCGCACACCCTGGTCTGCAAAACACGCCTCCCAGGAAACTGCCTCTTCTAACTCCCTTGCCCGTGCCCCTCAGTTGGTGCAGCCCGCCATTCTCAGTGAGTAGCTGTGCGTGTTGTTTGATAAGGAAAGTTTGGGATTCAGCAGCATCTCCTTGCCTAGCTGGACTGAGCCCGAGACCAGGATTTAATGCTCTGTGAAGCTCTTCAGTGGACACTGGACAACTGAGGCCACCCTCTGTGCCTTGATACTGTCGTCTGTAGAGTCTGCCCAGACTTACCCGTGGGCTTGTGGTACGGGTTAGATAAGGTGAGGTGTGTGTACAGATAGCTGACATTTGCCGAGCACCCATAGTGGGTTAGGAATACATGTTATCTCATGACATGACGCCCAGATCTTGGCATCCCCCCAAATGTTACCATTCCTACCATCAGCTTTCCGTTCCTTGGGGTTGAGCTCCCAAAGGTGTCTTCATCCTCTTCCCTAGGTCCTCCCCTCCCACGCCCTCTGGGATGTGGTGTGTATGTGGGTACCTAGCGGCTAACCCAGGTCACCACTAAAGCAGAGCCAGAAAGAGAGGTCCCTCTGCAGTTTGACTGAAATGGGAAGGTTTTTTCCCTGAAACCTCTGTTTGAGCGCTCCTGTGCTGCCACCTGCTGGTCAGTGACATAAGAGCAGGCGAGCTCACACCAAGGAGCATTTCATTAGGGAATTTTGGAATAATTACAATCAGGATGATGTTCAAAAGATATATACTGACCTAACCGTCAGCAGAGTTCTGAAGCCCATAATGGCCCCAGAGTCAACCCTTTACAAGCTGGTTGTGAGGAGGTAGAGGAGTCCCAGAGAGGGGTCTGGGAGAATTTTGATAATTTATGAAATGAAGGAGCCGCAACACGGCATCACCGAACGTCCTTAATGTTCAAAGGTGGTCCGTGCCCTGACCCTTACCCCAACCCCTAGCACCAGGCCACCCTGACAGAGCGTTCGCAGAGCCCCAGCACTCGGCTCCTTCCCTGGAGGGGGTCCACTGTACTGTCCTCCCACCCCAAAGCCCTTGTGCTTGGAGGCCCACGATGCCCCTCCCCACACACAGCAGCCATCACTCATTCTGTTTGTGAGCAAATCCCTGCCCATCACCGGTTTGCTTTCCAAATGTTTTGCTTATTTTTAGGAGTAACTCTTACCACGACCCG